GTGAATGTGTCAATCGATCCTGGGGAAGAGCGGAAAACATCCTATAACGGCGTGAAATTGTCATTAAAAGTCGAAAAACTCCAACTACGGCTCATGCCACACCTGTTTTAAAGATTCTTGAATTGTTTGAACTCAACTCATCCAAGCTACTAGTGGAGTGTGGTAACCGTTACGACACTAGTGGCTGTTTAAACGTAGGGTTTGTGTGCACGTTTTATAGGTTTACCGCTTAACTCCAATCGGGCCCAACGGAGACAACAAAGACAAAGGCCCCCCGTGTAGCCTTAGACTGTAGGGGCAAGTGCTGTTCGCGAGCAGCGGCACGCGGCATATGACGGAGTGGGTGGCCAGCAAACCACGCCCGTGCGCCGCCTTTGTCTCCCTGGTGGCAAGCTTTTAACAGACGCCACTCATATGCTTTGGGTCTTTCGGTAAATTCACGTAGATGGGTGAAAAATAACAAAAAACTACGACGTTTTATGACGATCGCTTGTGTTGCGGTCGAAACGTCGTTGTTTTTTGGTTATTTTATTTTGTTATTTTATTTTGTTAGTTTATTCGAACCTATCTACGTGAATTGACCGAAAAATTCTAAGAAGATGAATTCCTGCAGTCACAAAAGCTTTGAGTCACGGCCAGACACTCATTTGAGGCCGGGTCGATCGAGTGGGGGGGGGGGGGTTGGCCCATGAAGGTGTTTCAGCAAATCGACACCGATGTTTGGGAGTGGCCGTGAGCGGCAACGGAGCTCGGGGGGTTGGGGGGGCGGTGGTGGCCCGATTTTGTGCGGCCAATGGTGGGGGGGGGGGGGCCACGATTTAAAATGTAAACACTTTATTTTAAATATTCTATGGGTCTTTCGGTAAAAGTCACGTAGATAGAAAAATAATACGAAAAAAAATATCACGACCTTTCGATTGCGACACCGAAACGAAAGACCCATAGAATATGTATTTCTGCAGCCACGAAAGCTCTAAGTCAAGACTTTAATTTAAATTGTATTTGACCTGGCGAAGACCCCGCTGGGCTGTTTATTTAGCTCTTCTTTTTCTCTGAAGCGACCCGGTCATCACGAGTGATGGCGTCTCAACAAAGCGTGGCTTCTCGTCGTCATTGTCATCACGTGGAAATTGACAGCAGCAGCAGCCGCAGACAAATACAATACTCTTAAACGCGTGACGTTGATTCGAAATGTTTGGTGGGGGGAAAACCGGAGGACACGGAGAAAAATCCGCGTGACCACGGTGGGGGGGGACAGAGAGACACCGCAAACTCCAAATATACAGCAGCAGGCATCATCAGGGTCCACATGGAACCCACGACCTCCTGCATACCAGGCGAGGTAGTCAACATCCCCTAGCCACCGTGATGATGATGATGATGAGAGAGAGAGACACCACAAACTCCAAATATACAGCCGTAGGCGTCGTCAGGGTCGGCATCGAACCCACGACCTCCTGCATACCAGGCGAGGTAGTCAACATCTCCTAGCCACCGTGATGATGATGATGAGAGAGAGACACGCAAACTCCAAATATATAGCAGCAGACATCGTCAGGGTCGGCATCGAACCCATGACCTCCTGCATACCAGGCGAGGGAGTTAACATCTCCTAGCCAGCGTGATGATGATGATGAGAGAGAGACACGCAAACTCTAAAAATACAGCAGCAGACATCGTCAGGGTCGGCATCGAACCCACGACCTCCTGCACACCAGGCGAGGTAGTTAACATCTCATAGCCACCGCCGGTAGCAGCGCTCACGGCCACGCCGCGTCTGCAATGCGCTCGTGATTTCCCCTCCGGAGTCTGTTTGTATATTCTAGATTTGAAGCTTTCGTGACTGCAAGGATTCATATTCTTATGTTTTTTCGGTAAAGTCACGTAGGTAAAAATTTAAATTAATTAAAGTAAAATAAAAATACAATTTAAATTAAAATCACGACGTATCGGAGGCAACACAAAACGGAAGCTTGTGTTGCCTCCGAAACGTCGTGATTTTAATTTTATTTTTATTTTACTTTTATTAATTTAATTTTTTTACCTACGTGACTTTACTGAAAAAAACCTAAGGATTCTGTTTGTACACCCCTGGGCTGGGCCTGGGTGGTAGCGGTGGCTCAGCGGTTAGCCGGGCCGCGTAAATTGACGATTTGATGGACCCAGTCAAAAGGGTTGACCCGAGTTCGACCCCGGGCTCTGGCTATCATCAGCGGCGAGTGGATTCTGAACTGGTGCTAAGTGGCCTCGCAAGCCTTCGCCAGCCTGTACTGACTGGTGTGGTGAAGTATGGTCAAAGACACCCCCCCCATACCCCCGCACCCACCCCCCCCCCCCGACCGTGACTGACAAGACATGGCTGTCATCCAGCAGTGGATTGATATAAAAAGAGAGCCGGACAGACGGTGACTTCCATCCCCTTTGCTGTGGTAAAACCCTTCTCGCTTGATCAATAAAAGGCTGCCGATTGGTTTTGTTTAATTTCCCCCCTCCATGCTCGTGGTGGCCAGTAACATGTGGAACGTTGGGCCAAATGTTGGGGCCGACGTTGGGGTCAACGTTGTGGTCAATGTGAGGCCAGCGTGGGGTCAACGTGGGGTCAACGTGGGGCCAATGTTTGGGCCAACGTTGAGGCCAACATTGGGTCAACGTTAGGCAAACGTTGGCGTGTGGTTGACTGGGTGGTGAGTGTTCAAATGTACGAGCCGCGGCTGTTATTAAAACACGAATTTGCTGCCTGCACCCTTTCGTCTACGCGTGTCTGCCTGTGTCCTGTCATGGCGTCGCTCACCCCCCCCCCTCTTCCCCACCACACGACGGGCGCGTGGGTACAAACGCAAACTCGGGAGACGGGGAGCGGTGGGCGTCGAAGGGAACACGGCAAGTCCCCGTTTAACGCGGTGGATTGCGTTCCCCGGCAAGTGTGTGTGGCGGTGACGCTACAACGGCGCTTGTGCCAGGCTAGGTGCAGGAGGTCACGGGACAGACCGGGTGCCACGGGTTGACTGAGATGACTGGCGGATGCATCGCCTGTGCCCCCTACGGTGCCAGGCTAGGTGCAGGAGGTCACTGGACAAACCGGGTGCCACGGGATGACTGACAGATGCACCGCCTGTGCCCCCTACGGTGCCAGGCTAGGTGCAGGAGGTCACTGGACAAACCGGGTGCCACGGGATGACTGACAGATGCACCGCCTGTGCCCCCTACGGTGCCAAGCTAGGTGCAGGAGGTCACGGGACAGACCGGGTGCCACGGGTTGACTGAGATGACTGACAGATGCACTGCCTGTGCCCCCTACGGTGCCAGGCTAGGTGCAGGAGGTCACGGGACAGACACCCAGGTGCCACGGGTTGACTAAGATGACTGACAGATTCACCGCCTGTGACACCTACGGTACCAAGCTAGGTGCAGGAGGTCACGGGACAGACACCCAAGTGCCACAGGTTGCCTGAGATGACTGACAGATTCACCGCCTGTGACCCCTACGGTGCCAGGCTAGGTGCAGGAGGTCACGGGACAGACACCCAGGTGCCATGGGTTGACTGAGATGACTGACAGATGCACCGCCTGTGCCCCCTACGGTGCCAGGCTAGGTGCAGGAGGTCACGGGACACCCAGGTGCTACGGGTTGACTGAGATGACTGACAGATGCATCGCCTGTGCCCCCTACGGTGCCAGGCTAGGTGCAGGAGGTCACGGGACAGACCGGGTACCATGGGTTGACTGAGATGACTGACAGATGCACTGCTTGTGCCTCCTACGGTGCCAGGCTAGGTGCAGGAGGTCACGGGACAGACACCCAGGTGCCACGGGTTGACTGAGATGACTGACAGATGTACCGCCTGTGCCCCCTACGGTGCCAGGCTAGGTGCAGGTCACGGGACAGACACTCATGTGCCACGGGGTTGACTGAGATGACTGATAGATGCACCGCCCGTGCCTCCTACGGTGCCAGGCTAGGTGCAGGTCACGAGACAGACCCAGGTGCCACGGGTTGACTGAGATGACTGATAGATGCACCGCCCGTGCCTCCTACGGTGCCAGGCTAGGTGCAGGAGGTCACGGGACAGACCGGGTACCACGGGTTGACTGAGATGACTGACAGATGCACCGCTTGTGCCTCCTACGGTGCCAGGCTAGGTGCAGGAGGTCACGGGACAGACACCCAGGTGCCACGGGTTGACTGAGATGACTGACAGATGCACCGCCTGTGCTCCCCTACGGTGCCAGGCTAGGTGCAGGAGGTCACGGCACAGACACCCAGGTGCCACGGGTTGACTGAGATGACTGACAGATGCACCGCCTGTGCTCCATGCAATCTCCAAAGACAAAGATCCCCCGTATAGCCTAAACAGACTGTCGGGGCAAGTGCTGTTAGCGAGCACCTATGAAGGCCGGCACGGCGCACGAGGGGGTGGGTGGCCAGCACCACGCTCGGCCGCCTTTGTCTCCCCAGTGACGATGTTTACTACAAACCGCACAGGTGACTGTACTAATTTGAGGCTGAGTCAACCTAGGGGTGGCCCAGGACCGGTTCAGATAAATCGTCACTCGTGTTGGTGGCCGTGAGCGGAGCGGGAATCGAACTTGGGTTCAACGGGTTCACGTTGCAGGCAGTATCACCGCAGTAATCATCATAAGGGGCCGTCCATAAATTACGTCACGCACCTAGGGGGGGTTGATAAATGTGACGTCAAATCAAAATGCGCAACTTGAAATAACTATAGACAACACGTTCTACTTAATTAAATAGACTTTTTAATAAATGTTTTCTCCTACAACATCAGAGTGCAGCGCCACACTAAATACGCACTACAATGACAATAGTTTAAAGCGATTTGAAGCATGTTTAGAGCCGAGTCGGGGTTAAACTGAAACGCATCTGCATGCGATCGCGTTCCAAGTTTTTTTATTTAAAAATCGCGGTTTTTTTTGTCTTCACCCGGTGTCCCTCGCCGGGCACCGTAGCGCCGTCCGCCTATATAAGGAGGAGGCGAAGGTGACGGCGATTCCCAGACGCGCTCCGTTCACGCCATAACCTCTCTGCTGGTTCCACGCTACCGCTCAGCTCACCGCTCTCAACTCACCCGCTGGTCTCACCACTCGCCCTCACCGCTCACCGCTCACCCTCACCGCTCACCCTCACCTCTCATCCTCACCGCTCGCTCCCACCACTACCCCTCCCTACCCGTGAGGGCTCCGTCTCCTCACCCCCTCACCTCCGCCATGGCCTACCAGCTGTACAGGAACACGACGCTGGGAAACAGCCTCCAGGAGAGTCTGGACGAGCTCATCCAGGTGAAGGCGACGTCCGCCGCGTGCGAGACAGACAGAGAGGCGACCTCCTCCTCCCCCCCCCCCCCCCGGGCCCGCTCGAGTGGCGGGGACCCTAAGCGGCGGCGGGCGCTAGGCGAGGCCGAGGCTCCGCGCGGAGACGTAGGCCCGAGGAGCGGCGAGTGGAGTTCGCGTAACACTCGGGACGTGTGTGGCCGCTGCTGTTGTTGTTGTTTGATTATCGGTGGTTTCAACGGTGGCGTGGTCGTGAGTTGTGGTGGTGGTGGTGGTGGTGAGTTGTGGTGGTGGTGAGTTGTGGTGGTGGTGAGTTGTGGTGGTGGTGGTGAGTTGTGGTGGTGGTCGTGAGTTGTGGTGGTGGTCGTGAGTTGTGGTGGTGGTGGTGAGTTGTGGTGGTGGTGGTGAGTTGTGGTGGTGGTCGTGAGTTGTGGTGGTGGTCGTGAGTTGTGGTGGTGGTGGTGGTCGTGAGTTGTGGTGGTGGGTCGTGAGTTGTGGTGGTGGTGGTGAGTTGTGGTGGTGGTCGTGAGTTGTGGTGGTGAGTTGTGGTGGTGGTGGTGGTCGTGAGTTGTGGTGGTGGTGGTCGTGAGTTGTGGTGGTGGTGAGTTGTGGTGGTGGTCGTGAGTTGTGGTGGTGGTCGTGAGTTGTGGTGGTGGTCGTGAGTTGTGGTGGTGGTGGTGAGTTATGGTGGTGGTCGTGAGTTGTGGTGGTGGTCGTGAGTTGTGGTGGTGGTGGTGGTCGTGAGTTGTGGTGGTGGTCGTGGTGGTGGTGGTGAGTTATGGTGGTGGTCGTGAGTTGTGGTGGTGGTCGTGAGTTGTGGTGGTGGTCGGGAGTTGTGGTGGTGGTGGTGGTCGTGAGTTGTGGTGGTGGTGGTGGTGGTCGTGAGTTGTGGTGGTGGTGGTGGTGGTCGTGAGTTGTGGTGGTGGTGGTGGTGGTCGTGAGTTGTGGTGGTGGTGGTGGTCGTGAGTTGTGGTGGTGGTGGTGGGTGAGTTGTGGTGGTCGTGAGTTGTGGTGGTCGTGAGTTGTGGTGGTGGTCGTGAGTTGTGGTGGTGGTGGTGGTGGTCGTGAGTTGTGGTGGTGGTGGTCGTGAGTTGTGGTGGTGGTGGTCGTGAGTTGTGGTGGTGGTGGTCGTGAGTTGTGGTGGTGGTGGTCGTGAGTTGTGGTGGTCGTGGTGGTGATGGGGGGCCCCACTCGCGGCCGCCGACGCCCCGGGCTAGGCACGATACGAGGTGAGTTCTGAGTCTCGGTCCTCTAGGTCGACTCGGCCTCAAGTGAGTTACCCGGTGTGTAGTAGACATCGCCGCTGGGGAGACAAAGGCGGCCGGGCGTGGGGGCTGGCCACCACCCCGCGTCCGCTCGTGTGCCGTGCCGGAGTTTGTAGATGCTGCTACTCGCTAGGCTGTGGGGGGGGGGGGGGTGGAGATTCAATGCCCATGGTGTTCACTAACACGCAGTCTGAAGTATTTCATGTGGAGCCCTTCCGTTTGAGATGCACAAGTCGTCGTGGTTGGAGTTTAGAGACCACACGAGGCTTGGTGTGGTGATCTTACGAAGTAATACAGGTTTTTTTGGTGAGATCGCGTTATCTATAAATGGATCTAACCCTAATTCTAGACTTGAAGCTTTCGTGACTGCAAGGAATCATATTCTTAGGTGTTTTCGGTAAAGTCACGTAGGTAAAACATCAAAATTAATAAAATAATAAAATAAAATACAGATCACGACGTTTCGGAGGCAACACAAGTCTCCGTCATCAGGTGGGACAGTCACAGCCAGATTAGCTGCATCAAGTGAGGCAATGATTCAAGATGTAATCCCTTAAAAGCGAGTTGAGGGGGGAGGAGAGGGGGGGGGCTCATCAGAATGTGGTAGCCAATGAATGGAAAGTATCGGGAGAGAGGGGCCAAAAAAGGGTGGGAATATGGATCTAACCCAAAAACATTTATGTTAAACTGATCTTACGAAATGTGTTTTTTTTAATCCTGCCCAAGGAAACGACCGTCTTTTTTAAAATAAAGTCTCTGCCGATGTTGGTATACAAACACACGGCTGTCACAATCCAAACGCGTTAGGACATATTCTTGTACAGGGAAATCGAGGTTTCAGGTCCACATGGCGTACATCCGTTTCAATACGGGCGAATAATTTGTTTTTGTCTATTTGTTTCTCCCTTGTGATGGTACTTTGTGGAGGACGAACGTTTGGATTTAAAAGGGGCACCGGGTGACCAATAAGGTCTGAGTTGGGCTGTAATAAGATGGGGCACTGATAAGTGGTTGACGGGTGTGTAGTAGTTAATCGTGGTGTAGTGCATAGTGTAGTTTATAGTAGTGTATAGTGTGTTTTATTTTCTGTGTTTTATCTCTCTCTCAAATTTAGCATTCTCAGGAAGAACGTAATCAACCAGGTAGAGTTGACTGTTATGTTATCCGACTCTCAGTTGTATTACATTACATTTCTAAGTATACTAGATTTGTGTTTTTATTTCATTCATACCTGACGACGATTGCTTGTTGCAATCGAAACGTATGCTAGTATTTTAATTTATTATTTTCTCTTTCTACGTGACTTTACCAAAAGAACCAAAGAGTAGTAGTGTATAGTGGCATACCTGTGAATCCGTTCGGTTTACCCCCTATTCTTGTGCAGAGAAATTGAGTTAAAACAAATGCCCATGTGTTTGTGTTTCTCCCTTGTGATCGAACTTTGTGTAGGATGAACGTTGACATTCGTAAGGGCACCACGGGGTTGACCGATACGGTCTGACTTGGTCTGTAATAATGTGGGAGGCACTGATAAGGGGTTGATAGCTACTTGAACGATCCGGCTGATGGAGGAGGATGACGGCGGGGGTGGGGGGGTCGGTGCCGTTTTCACGAAGGGCTAACAAGGCTTGGAGTAGAATGGGATTGCGGTTGCATGAGGTTAGGACTCGTGGGGGGGGGGGGGGGGGTGGTGTGAGGGGTGGCACAGCCTTCAGTCCTGGAGCCGCATGCGGATCTTTAAGGACTGCCGCTACGTGACGTTGTTGACGTTGCAGTGCGGCTCATGAAACATTGAGGGGAGTGGGGGGCTATTTTGGTTGTCGAACTTCCTACTACCCCCCCCCCCCCCGGGTTCGGTTGAAGCGGCATCCTTTGTCGCGAGCGAGGCCACCGTGGGCGAGTGGCGGGGGGGGGCCCTGGTGGCCTTTAGCGCGGCCCCTGACGTGTGCCCCCCCCCAACACACAAATAGTTAAAACACCCCCCCCCCAATCATCATCGTGCTGCTGTCAAACCCCCAATGGTTTCAATGGCCCCTCGCACTTCTGAGGTTCTATCGGTGAAAATGCCCCCCCCCCCCCCTCTGAAAATTGGCGAAGAACGCTGCTGTAGATTTGGCTGCTGCTGCTGCCATCAATGTCCACGTGATGATGTTAGAGCCACTTGGTTGAGCTGCCATTTGCGATGGCCAGAGTCGCTTCCGATAAGAAGAGCAACGTAGCTCAAAGTGGGACTTGCCTGGTACAATAAAACATTTAGTTTAGTACATCGCAGCGTTCTTCATTGTACGAGGCCCGCGGGCCACTGGCGACCCCTGGGTGGCCTTTAGTGTGGGCCCGCGACAACAAAGAGTGAAAACACCCCCCATCATCATCGTGCAGCTGTCAAACCCCCAATGGTTTCAAATGTGTGGTGGCCTCTCGTACTGCTGAGGGTCTTATCGGCGAAAATGCCCCCCCCCCCCACACCTCAAAAAACCAGCATTCTTTGCTAAATTTTCAAAGGGTTATGTTGAGGGGTTGGGGTTATCCGATTGATTACAGAGACTCCTCTACTTACAAACGAATCTGGTTGCAGACTTTTGTTCACAAGTCTAGTTTGTTCATAAGTCCAAGTTTACTCCTGTCGAATACAAACACGTTATGGCGTGTACACTAAACATGGGGAACGGCCTTAAAAGTTGTATAATCTCCTGTAGATGTAGATGCCACTGGTTCTTCACGGTCCGAACGGGGCAACGGGACGTATGGACAGGTTTGTTCGTATCTCTGGAAGTTCGTAAGTCGAATGTTTGCAAGTCGATGAGTCGCTGTACCGTAACATTGCAAGTGTCGTACACCTACTGCACAACACTTGGCAGGACTCTTGGGAAAATAGTCGGCAGACTCCGTGATGCTTTCTTAGGTAAACACGCGCAATTGAGGTGGGGTAGGGTTATGATTTTGGAGGTGGGGTAACGTATGTATGTTGAACTTCTTTCGCGTTCTACGTAGCCAAACCGTGCTATGGTGTGGGGCAGAGGGTTGGCGATCAAAATAAGGAGACGAGCCACATTTTTTTGTTCACCTTTAGAAAATTTAAAACAACCCCCTCCAATAATTTCAAGATCACAGCCACGATGCACCGCGGCGAAATACGGAGACGGCGTCCCTCGATAAATAACGTCGTCGTCACGAAGCAGAGGGCCTTGAACAGCCACCGCACGCTTCTCCGGAGCCGCAGGTTTGCGACCCCTGCCCGGGTTTGGGCCTAGGGTTTACAGCTTCATCCTCACGATCCCTGGGCAAATATCCCACCGCAGTCGACGTGTCCACTGCACATGTTGTCATTTGTTGTTTCCACTTTCCGCTGCCTTGTAGTGCCAATATGTCTCAAGTAGTGCACATCATAGTAGTGGAGTGTATGGTAGTGTATAGTGTAGTGTATGGTAGTGTAAAGTGTAGTGCATCATCATCACGATTCATGCCAATATGGCTCAAGTGGTAGTGGCCACATCATAGTTCTGTAGTGTATAGTAGTATAGTGGTGTGTAGTGTACGGTAGTGTGCGGTGTAGTACATCATCATCACGATCCATGCCAATATGGCTCAAGTGGTAGTGGCCACATCATAGTTCTGTAGTGTGTAGTGTATAGTGTATGCTAGTGTGTAGTGTATGGCAGTGTATAGTGTAGTGTATCATCACGATCCATGGGCAGATATCCCACCGCAGTAGATGTCTACTGCACGTTTCGTATTTTGTTGTTTCCACTTTCCGCTGCCTTGTGCCAATATGTCTCGAGTAGTACACATAATAGTAGTGTAGTGTATGGTAGTGTATAGTGTATGGTAGTGTACAGTGTAGTGCATCATCATCACGATCCCACCGTAGTGGGTATGTCCACTGCACATTTCGTCATTTGTTGTTTGTACTTTCCCCTCTGCCTTGTGCCAATATGGCTCAAGTAGTAGTGGCCGCATCTTTTTGGCACGATGTCGTCAAGCCCATTCTCTGTTAGGTCTTCCTCTCTTTCCAGTTCATTAAATTTTTCTGAACGACAACACACTTTACATTTTCTTGTTGTCCATCCTACACGTGTCCAAATAGTGCCAGTTCTATGTGCAGAATTTTTCTTACCGCTATGCTGTTTCGTGCTTGGTAGGGTGTTATAGTTTAGGGAGTAGGGTTTAGCTGTTATGGTTAAAGGGCACGCTTGGTCGAGTTGGGGGGTTTGGTTTCAGGGGTTAGGACGGTGTGTTATAGCAAGACTTGTGCGCTTGCTGTTCAGACTAGTATCTCTGATCGCTGCTATTAATCTGCACCTGTGGGCACAGCAGGTCCCGGCCGTTAAAGTATGTTGGTTGATGCGTGCCAGTGTGTGTGTGTGTGGTGAAAAGGAGTTTTCTGTTCACATGGTCTTACTTTAGTCGCCGTTTGTACATTCTCGTGAGCGTTACCTGGGCTCGATTCTCAACTGCGGCTAAGGTTCGGTGGCAAAAGAAGAATTTTGGTGGAGAGGGGGGAAGTAGCCTGAAGGTTCCCTCGGCTCGGCCTTAGCGGAGTATCTTTGTGATTAAACAAATACATGTGCTGCTTTGGCAGTGGTGCACGATTAATAGAACTCGTCAAGATGGTAAACGAATCATCGCGTGGCGCTTTCGGGTGCGCGCTTCTGCGGCCGTCTGGAACGCTCTTCCTTCCGATATTAGTAAACCTCTGGGGACTGCACTTGTAATTTGTCGTCGAGATTGACGGGGCACCTCCCGATTAGCGCGGGTGGCTACGTACGGTGCGGAAGAAATCCAACGCGCATCGTCAACACCGCCTCGTACATAAAATAAAAACGCAATTCACATCTTTCCCCCTCCCCCCCCCCCTTTGATGTCGTTTCGCAAATGCGCCGTCGCTTTATGAACACCGCTGCCTGATTTGCGTCGTCTCAGCTACACGCTTGCGTCGCTGGCGGCATCTGCGGCGTCCTTACTCGTTATCCGTCGCCCGCTATTCCCCTGCAAATATCGCTTCGACGGACGTCGTTTCGATATTCGTCGTCACACGTTTTCGGGAACGCATCCCCAACGTAAGCCCGGTGTATGTTGCTGTATGATCGCTGACGTTATCATTTGGTATTTTAAGGCGGCGGTGTTGTTGTTGTTGGCGAGTGTGAGTTGTTTTTTAATAACCGAGTCTCTGGCTCTGGGGACCGGCAGGAGGCAAGATCGAAATACCTGCGGTCAATGTCATTTAATAGTATCATGGTGGACTTGGAATGAACATCGTGACGTAATGGTCATATCAATTCTAGATTTGAAGTTTTTCGTGACTGCAAGAATCCATACTCTTTGGTTTTATTTGGTAAAGTTACATAGGTAAAAAAAACAATCTTTTATTTTTACCTACGTGACTTTACCGACTAAAACCAAAGTATGGTCATATCAACTAACAAACGGTGCCTATGTCATTGTAATTACAATACTTAGTAGCAATAATAATTGGCTATCTCTGGCGTAGGCCAATCAGTTTCAAAGACAATGCGTTTGTTACACTATGTAACATTATTGTTGTTCCTGGGTAGTAAGTGTTAATTGCTTATGCCTAAGTATAGAAAATGTCTATTATTCCCCACAGACTTTGCTTTTGTGACCAGGACAGTGATAATTTGAAATTGACCTATTTTCAATGAGAAAACGGGTGGAATTTGTGTCTTTTCGTTCACACATGAATCAAAATTAACATGTATTTATACTACAGTAATACAAAAATGACTACGAAAGATTTAGAAGGGAGTAGTTTTTCGAGATTGACGATTATACTGTAAATAACTTTCATGAATCAGCCCCCAAATGTTGTCTCCCATCATGTTCTCGTTACACTGTCCTTGGTAGCGGTGTTCAAAGTCCAATCTATCCTGGTGGAAGTGCTCGCCTTGCTCCTCCCATGTTCTCCTTGAATTTATCAAGATGAGCATCAAGGATGTGGACTTTGAGGGACATCCTACAGCCCATTGTGCCGTAGTTTTTCTCCATAAACACATTCCTGCGGAGGGAGCTGGTAGGAACGTTGAGTAGCTCGGTCAATGGCCAGGGTCAACGGCGGCGTGGTGTATTCCGCAAATATGCCCGATTGAGGGCGGGCACAAGCTGGCGTGAGTAGGTTAAACGTTGAGTTTTATAAGGGCACCACGGGGTGACCAGCCCCTCCCCACCCAGCCCCTCCCTGCACGACGGACGGACACAATAATCCCCTGTGGGCTGGTGTAACCAGGAGGTTCCTACCAGTATCAGAGCGTTTGTTTGCACGTTCACCACAAGCGCGCGTGGTCAATGCGGACTTGATTCCTTGCAAAAGGTTTCTAATTTGGTGTTTGAACATCGTAACGACTCCTGTTTTATTGCCGGAAAGGGGACAAACCTCTTCTTCTTGTTCGTTTCCCTACTTTGGTAAAGATGCCACTTCCTCCCCCTCCTTTTGGGAGCGTGCCGCCGATTGCCGCCGCGTGTGCGATGTGGCTCACGAGGGTTTGTGGTGGTTGTGTGTGGGTGTCCAGTCCCAGCAGATGAGTCCTCAGCTGGCGCTGCAGGTGCTGCTGCAGTTCGACAAGGCGATCAACGCGGCGTTGGCGCAGCGCGTGCGCAACCGCATCAGCTTCCGCGTAAGCCTGGCTTTGCGCGCTCGCGCTCACACTCGCACTCCACAACAACCGCCATTCGCCACCTAAGTGGTGGCGATGTCGCCACGACGCTTGTGCCAGGCTATATCTGCACGTTAAAGCCACGTGAAGTGTCGAACGCCCGCTGGCAGGAGGTCATGGGACGGACCCAGGTGGTGCCATGGGTCGACTGAGATAACTGGCCGATTCACACACACACACACACACTCGTACACAAACACACCTGCACAAACAAAAACTTATGATCCCCCAATATAGCCTCAATAGACTGTAGGGGCAAGTGCTGTTAGCGAGCACCTATGAAGGCCAGAACGGTATACGAGGGGATGGGTGGCCAGCTCCAAGCCTGACCGCCTTTGTCTCCCAAGTGGCGATGTTTACACACTACAACAGGTACTCATTTGAGGCTAAGTTGACCTAGGGGAGGCCCAGGACCAGTTCAAATAATCGTCACTAGTGTTGGCGCTACGTGCTAACCACGCCACTACCGCTCCACACACAAATGCTCAACCGCCCTTCTCCGCTATGTGGTGGCGGTGATGTCAATGCGGAACTCGTGCCAGGCTCGGTGCACTTTGAGGCCGTTGTGTGAAGTTTGGAAGGCTCGCTGGCAGGAGGTCACGGGACGGACTCCGTGTTATGGATTGACTGAGATCACTGATGGAGGCACGCACACATACACGTAGACACTCACAAATGTACAGAGACGCACAACAGCTTGTGCCAGGCTAGAAGCGTGTAAGGCTCGCTGCTGGCAGGAAGTCATGGGGACAGACCCAGGTGTTGACTGAGATGACTGGCAGATGCGTGCCACCCACTGTACTGTGTTTCTCGCCGTCCAGCGCTCCGCTCGACGTTGCGAGCATCGCTCCTCCGCTTTCCGTTGTGGCTGCAGTCTGATCAGCTCTGCATCTTGTATCACATGAGCCCACGTGTTCTCTCGCCCAGGCTCTGCCGTTTAGCCCCCTCGACTCGTACCCTCTTCCTAAATGTATTCCTACGCACGCAATTCAGCACTTGTATGTTGAACTTCTTTCGCACCATACGTAGACAACCGTGCTAATGGGAGGTGTGAAGCATTGATTTTAATTGGGGTCTTTACTTGCCTAATTATTTGTTTCCTTGTTACCCACCCCCCCCCTCCGTGTCTCCACAATGTCCCCATGCCAATCTCTCCCTGCGTGCCCCATCTCCTGCCCGTGTCCCCGGCACCCCCCTCCCCCGTGTGCAGGGCTCTCTGAACACGTACGGTTCTGTGACAACGTGTGGACCTTCGTGCTCAACGACGTGGAGTTCCGCGAAGTCACCGACCTCGTCAAGGTCGACAAAGTGAAGATCGTGGCCTGCGATGGCAAGAGTGAGCGCCCAGACACCATGGGCTCACACTCACCACGCACTCACCCTCGCCTCACCGCTCGCCTCGCCGCGCGCTCACCTCGCCGCTCGCTCACCTCACCGCTCGCCTCATCTCACCGCTCACCTCACCGCGCGCTCACTTCACCAAGCGCTCATCACACTCGCTTCACCATGCACTCGCCACAAAAAGACAAAGATCCCCGTATAGCCTTAACAGACTGTCGGGGCAAGTGCTGTTAGCGAGTGGCACCTATGAAGGCCGGCACGGCGCACAAGAGGGTGGGCGGCAAGCACCACGCCCGACCGCCTTTGTCTCCCGAGTGGCGATGTTTACGCCACACCAGGTAATCATTTGAGGCTGAGTGGACCTAGGGGAGACCCAGGACCCGTTTCAAATAATCGTCACTGGTGTTGGACGCGGGTGGGGAAATCGCACCTGGTTTGCCGGGTTCATAGCGTAGCGTAGCGCTAACCGCTGCACGCACGTCAAATTTTACGCGAGTTTTTTTGGTTACCCGACTGAGATGGTCAACTCCGCTACACTTGAGTGGGGGGGAAGGGGGGGCACCCGGTCTAATCGCAGCTCTGCGAGTGCGTGTGGGTTTCTACGCGAGCCCACTACGAGTGTGTCGGTGAATCGTTGGGTGACCGTGCGAGACCATCGGTCAATTCGTGATGCTTGAGAGCACATTTTAAATCGCAGCCGGCGCCGACTTTGATCCACCGTGCGCCCCCTCTCTCTCTCTCTCTGTCGCTCATCCTCAGTGGCCCGCTCCCCGCTAGTGCTCGCCGTGACATGCGGGCCCCCTCCCTGTGTCTCCTCTCGTTGGTCACAGCCTCCGGCTCAACGTCTGCGGAGTGAGGAGGAGGACGAGGAGGAGGAGGAGCGGTGGCGGAGTGGAGCCTCGTCGGAGCAGCGGCGGCTCGCTCGCTCACCCTCCACCAGCCCCCGATACACACCCACTCCCTCACCATCCATCCCACCACTCCCTCACCCTCCACCAGCCCCCGATACACACCCACTCCCTCACCATCCATCCCACCACTCCCTCGTCCTCCACCAGCCTCCGATACACGCAGTCCACTCGCCCACTCCCTCACCATCCATCCCACCCACTCCCTCATCCTCCACCAGCACCCGATACACACTGTTCACTAACCCACTCCCTCACCATCCATCCCACCACTCCCTCATCCTCCACCAGCACCCGATACACACCGTTCACTAACCCACTCCCTCACCATCCATCCCACCACTCCCTCATCCTCCACCAGCACCTGATACACACCGTTCACTAACCCACTCCCTCACCATCCATCCCACCCCTCCCTCATCCTCCACCAGCACCCGATACACACCGTTCACTAACCCACTCCCTCATCATCCATCCCACCACTCCCTCATCCTCCACCAGCACCCGATACACACCGTTCACTAACCCACTCCCTCACCATCCATCCCACCACTCCCTCATCCTCCACCAGCACCCGATACACACCGTTCACTAACCCACTCCCTCACCATCCATCCCACCACTCCCTCATCCTCCACCAGCACCCGATACACACCGTTCACTAACCCACTCCCTCACCATCCATCCCACCACTCCCTCATCCTCCACCAGCACCTGATACACACCGTTCACTAACCCACTCCCTCACCATCCATCCCACCACTCCCTCATCCTCCACCAGCACCCGATACACACCGTTCACTAACCCACTCCCTCACCATCCATCCCACCACTCCCTCATCCTCCACCAGCACCCGATACACACCGTTCACTAACCCACTCCCTCACCATCCATCCCACCACTCCCTCATCCTCCACCAGCACCCGATACACACCGTTCACTAACCCACTCCCTCACCATCCATCCCACCACTCCCTCATCCTCCACCAGCCTCCGATACACGCAGTCCACTCGCCCCACTCCCTCACCATCCATCCCATCACTCCCTCTTACTCCACCAGCCCCCGATACACGCAGTCCACTCGCTCACTCCCTCACCATCCATCCCACCACTCCCTCGTCCTCCACCAGCACCCGATACACACCGTTCACTCACCCACTCCCTCGCCATCCATCCCACCACTCCCTCCACCAGCCCCAGCGTATATCGACGCGATCTGCTGGCCCCACTCCGCGCCTACGCTGCTGTCGCGTTTCGCCTCTCCCACTTCCCACCCTGCTTGGCCCTCCTCCACCACCACGGCCGAGTCACCCGCTCTGCACTCACGGTTGAAGATGCAGGGTTGTTGTCGTGGTGGTTGTAGCAAGCCACCCTCTCTGATGGTGTGAAACCCAGACTATAAATATATCCCCGTAAAAGAGAATTGGCTCTTGATACCTTGATTTCGGACTGTCAAATAATAATTCGGTGCAATCGTAGCGGCACGTGACATTGTGAAGGCGTTGTAGATCCCGTGTCCGAGGAATTGATTTTAATTTGCAAAATCATTCCAGCACGTCCTCTGGATTCACTCCGTCTCCTCGTTCGATGCTGTGCCTCTCCGGTCACTACCCCACAACTCTCGCTCGCCATCCTCTCGGCTACAATTACTCTCCCATAATCCTCCCAGCTGCAATTGCTCACCCATCATCCTCCCAGCTGCCATCACTCGCCATCATTCTCCCAGCTCCCATAATCCTCCCAGTTCCCAGGACTCCCATCCCCAATCCGAGTGAATCTCCTTCAAAATCGCCCCCTACCCCCCCCCCCCCCCCACTGCACAACCACCACCCACACTGTTGTCACCCCTTGCATAAAAATAGTTAACATTTTAAATTGAATTGTTTTGTTCCCTCTGGCGTCTCTCTTTATGTTCAGTGTAATTTATTTGTCTCCGTTTTGACGAGAGAGCCCCGCGCACGTTACCAACGGTGCAACGTTCGAATTTTTTTTTTTTAATAAAGGATTTTCTTTGGTTTTCTATTGTTGCTGGTGGTCGGTGATTTCATTTTACAGCCGGCACAGTCCGAGATGAACGACGTTCCGGGAATCAAATTTGGCCACGCCACATCTTCTGACACGGTGGTGGCTGGCCTGCCTACGATCCATCATGGGTTTAACCAGGCTGGATTGTGTGAGGAGCTCACGAATCTTTTAAAAGCTTGGGTAAAGTCCCATCGGTGAGCTCCTCCGGCAGGCAAGGCTGTGTTGGCCGAGTCATGTAGCCCGCATGCCCAGCCACTGCATGCCTAAACAGCTTTTATTCGGCCGGATAGAGGGGGCTAATTGGGCAGGGCACGGGCTAGAGTGAGATGGAGTGATGTGGTACAGGAGGATGTGGAGCTGAGTGGACTTGCCGATGACTGGTACCAGCAGTGTTAAGATCGGCCTCAGGAGGCTTGTAAAGGACGCTGCTGCTACTGGGCATTTGGAGGCAGTCACCCTCCAGCGACAACAGCGGGCAGAGGAGCCACACAACGAGTGGAGTGCCGGTCGGCTTAAAACACAGGAAGTTAGCACAGTAGGGTACACAGGTGGTGCATCGGCCACTCATCTCAGTCGGTTGTCCCATGGCACCTGGATCTGTCCCATAACCTGGCCGGCGGGCGCTCTGCACTTCACGTGGCCTTGAAGTGCGCACAGCCGTGAGGACGTCGCCGCACTCAATGGTGACTGGCGGTTGCTGTGTTCGGTGAACGAGCATGCGAAACCTGGCCACCAGAGTTCAATTCCCGCTCGTGGCCAGCAACACCAATGACGATTATCTGATCTGGTCCTGGACCTTTCCCTAGGTCGACTCATCCTAAAATGAGTACCTGGTGTGGTGTGTGGTAAAACATCGCCACTCGAGAGACAAAGGTGGCCGGGTCGTGGTGCCGACCACGCACCCCTTGGTGTGCCGTGCCCGACCTTCGTAGGTGCTGATCGCTAGCAGTACTTGCCCAAAACGGTCTGTTAAGGGCTACACGGGCGATCTTTGGTGAACATTTAACACATTCTGCAGAGGGAGCTGGTAGGAACGTTGGGTTGCTCGGTCAATGGCCAGGGTCAACGGCGGCGTGGTGTATTCCGCAAATATGCCCGACCCGTGAGGGCGGGCACCAGCCGGCGTGAGTAGGTTAAACGTTGAGTTTTATAAGGGCACCACGGGGTGACTAGCCCTCCCCACCCAGCCCCAACCACGCCACCCCAGCCCCACCCCCAACTCAGCCCCACCCATCCCACCCCCCACCCAGCCCCACCCTCCCCTCCCAGCCCCTCCCCACCCAGCCCCACCTTCCCCTCCCCACCCAGCCCCTCCCCCACCCAGCCCCTCCCACCCTCCCCTCTCCAGCCCAGCCCCACCCCTCCCATTTTTGGATGCACGACGAACAGACAGAATAATCCCCTGTGGGCTGGTGTAACCAGGAGGTTCCTACCAGTATTAACTCTACCACGAACCCGATCACCGCCACTTACCGTATCACTCATTCTATCATTACCACCGACCCCGATCACTACCATTTTTTTTTTTGCTACGGCAGGACACTTGAGAACCCAGAGGCAAACTCGTGCAGAAGAGGGGGAGAGAGACTGCAACCTCGCACGAGAACATCAAACTCAAGACAGGAATCTAACCCAGGGGACCTATGTTGCGTCGAGGCGCTGTTGCTGCCACCACTTCGCCACAGAGTTGGTGCAACGCGCGTCTAGTTGCCAGCAGACAATCTGACAAGGCGCAGCAAACGACATCGACTGTGGCACCTAGATTGTCAACTGCGGTGTATGTTACGTGGAACTTCTTTCGCACCGTACGCAAGCCAACCGTGGCTACTCGGAGGTGCGGGGGAAGGACAACAAACTAAACACAAAAAGCAGTTTAAAGAAAGGAGTTTTGTCAACCGAGATTATTTAAAAGTGCATAGCTCAGTGGCTTCCTAATATTGGAAGAGCGGATCTGAAAAAGCTGCAGGTGATCATCGACCCAGTTCCGACTGAGAAACGCGTCTGGATTTGGTGAGTTGGTGGGCAACGCGAGTGCTGGCTTGGGAAGTCGGGATTATCGGCACAAGGCACTACCACTAGAATAACAAGGTACCCATCTTATACTGGTAGGAACCTCCTGGTTACACCAGCCCACAGGAGATATTGTGTCCGTCCGTCGTGCAGGAAGGGGCTGGGTGGGGCTGTGTGGGGGGGGCAGGGTGGGGCTGGTCACCCCGTGGTGCCCTGACGATTATCTGAACCGGTCCTGGGCTTCCCCTAGGTCGACTCAGCCTCAAAGAGTACCTGGTGCTGTGTAAACATCACCACTGGGGAGACAAAGGCGGCAGGGCGTGGTGCTAGCCACCCTCGTGTGCCACAGTGCCGGCCTTCACAGGTGCTCGCTCACAGCACTTGCCCCAACAGTCTACTCAGGCTATACGTGAGGGATCTTTGTCTTTGCATAGGGATGGGGGGGGGGGCATTAAAGACTCTCGCGAGATCCATTGGCTGCGCACGCGTTCCCTCGCCCACCACGTGACTGCTGACCGCGCCGTAACGGGATTCAACGAATCGGCGACACGTTGAAGGATGAACGACGTTCGTATCGAAGGAAGCCAATCAGCGTCAAGTGGGCGACCTCACGTGGGGGGGGGGATTTTTCGATCTACAAACCGTCTCTTTGGATTCAGAAATCACGTGATAGGAATCACTTTAACGATTTTTTTTTATAAATTATAAATATCACAGCAAAAAAAAAATCGGTCGATTCCCATTTAAGCGAGCATTTAATCCAGTATTCCTTACGTGAGCAAAGCCATGCCCTTATTACTCCATGTATGGGCCTACAGCAAGCATGTCCGGCCCGGGGCCAATCACGGCCCACGGTCAGATTTTATACGGCCTGCAGCTTCGGTCTTATAATGTGTTATTTATGGCTCGTTAGCGCTGTCAGAATAAAAAAAATCATAAAACTTTAAAGATGTAATTCCTTCTTCCGCCACACGGTGGCAGCACCATTCTAATGCTATCTGGCTCTGCATCCGTGCCGCGAAACCTTCTCGAATAATTCTGCCATGGCGACTGCAAAAAAAAAGATAAAAGTTGACAGTGAGGGCCGCTGCTTTCAGGAGCGGTGGGAATTACAATACTTCTTCACTGGAAATTAAGGAAATTATGTTTGTCTAATTTGTAAAGAGACGGATGCCTTGTTTAAGGATATCAACGTAAAGAGACACTACGAGACTAAACATGCTACAACATACGACAAGCTAACAGGGAGTGACCGCGCTGAAAAAGTAAAGCAACTTCAAGCTGCTCTGGCATCGCAACAGCGATTCTTCACGCCGGCCTGTGAGTCAAAGGAAAACATCACCAAAGCCAGCTACGAAGTGGCCATGTTAATAGCTAAACATGGCAAACCTTTTACTGAAGGTGCGTTTATCAAGAGTGTGTCATAAAAATGGTGGAGAACATTTTCCCCGAGAAGAAGCAAGAATTTATGAATGTTTGCCTGGCACGCAACACTGTGGCACGGAGAGTTGAGGACATATCGTCAGATATTCAGAGACAACTGGGGAACAGGGGAGTGTCTTTTGATTACTTCTCATTAGCCTGCGATAAAGCACCAATGCATCTGACACTGCACAACTACTTATGTTTTTAAGAGGAGTTGATGACAACATGAACGTGACAGAGGAGCTGCTTGACCTCAAAAGCCTTAAAGGGCAAACCAGAGGAACATATGTATTCGTTTCTGTTTGTGAAGCTGTTGATGATTTCAAACTACCACGGAGTAAAGTTTCTGGGATCATTACCGATGGTGCACCTGCTATGGCTGGTGAGCAAAGTGGATTGTCCACACTGATCTGCAATAAAGTCAGCGAAGAAGCAGGCAACGCTATTAAACTTCACTGTATCATTCATCAGCAGGCTCTCTGCGCCAAACATCTCAAATTTGACGATGTTATGAAACCAGTGGCAAAGGCAATGAATTCTATTCGCTCTAAAGCTCTATACCACCGACAGTTTCAGCAGTTCTTGCGTGACATCCAGGCTGAATATGGTGACGTAATATATCACAACGATGTGAGGTCGCTAAGTCGGGGGTCCGCACTACAGAGATTTTTCTCTCTCAAAGAGGAAATTGGACATTTTTTGGATGAGAAGGGACAACCAATGGAAGAACTGTCCGATCCTGTATGGTTGGCAAATCTGGCTTTTTTGGTTGACATAATGAAGCATCTGAATGCGCTGAATGTTAATCTTCAAGGGAAAGATGCAGTGGTGAGCCAGCTATATGCTCACATCAAGGCCTTTGGAACCAAACTGCAAATTTTCCAAAGACACTTATCCCAAACAGAGCCCTGCACCGCGCACTTTCCAGCTTTGAAAGAGGTCATTGACAGTTTCCCACAGGACAACATCAGTGCGCAAATGAAAAGTCATGCAACAGCTATCGCATCGCTTTCTGTGGAATTTAACAAACGCTTTCGGGACTTTGCAGTTATTGAAAAGGACATGTTGCTTTTCTCTTCTCCCTTCTCCGTGGACCCTGATGATGCTCCTCCACAGCTGCAGCTGGAGCTCATTGAGCTGCAGTTTGACGATGAGTGCCGCGGGAAACACCAGCAGTGTTCTCTTGTTAAGTTTTACCGGCAGCTGGACAAAAGCAGGTTTCCAGAAATGCGGTCATTCGCTAAGAAAATGTTGAGCTTATTTCGGCTCTACATATTTGTGTGAGCAAACATTCTCCGTCATGAACTTAAATAAGAACCGATTTAGGTCAAGGATGAGTGACTCCAAATTGCGTGGCATTTTATGCATCTCAACCACTGTCCTCAAGCCTGACCT